CGTATCCTCCTATAATTTATTTTCCAAAAGTCGAATTACATATCGATTTTAATATTTTAAAAATATATAATATATTAATAGATTTAATTAATAAATATAGTCCAAAATCCTAATATAAATCGTTTTATGTTGCAGCGAAAATAATCCAACACCCTATAAATCAAATGTTTAATTCCAATCTGTGGATTAAATCGACACGTTATTTAATCCAAACCCCCGATATAAATACATCTATATAATGGCGTTCCACCCCATTTTTTCACCAATTCATTATGAAGGTGGCGGCTTCCACGATCAAAGCCATCCTATTTGTGGCAAGCCTGTTTTGAGGTATTGGCCGCCGCTAAATTCATTAGTTCCATTGCCCACATATTAGGCCATGGTTGGGTAGAGTGGGTGGCAATAAGCATTGATTCACTTTTGGGCTAACAAGAGGGTCTGTTAGAGCAAGCCTTGCAAATTAAAGTTTTCGGGGTCCACTAATCTCATTCTCCAATCCTTGTTTTGGTTCAAGAAGACGATACAAGAAGCCCAAAGTCCATAAGTCATCCAGAAGCTCACACAGCTCAGTCGTCAGGGTGCTTAGCAATCATCATTGCCTTTTTAACTCTGCGTAGGCTCAAACTCTGGTCTGTTTTTATGTTACTGGATGCCATTAAGGCCATTAGCCACGCAAATTGGTGATTCAGTGGGCTCTGGAGCAAACCTCACAGAATGAAGTTTCTAGACTCTACTTTGCTCGTTTTGGTCTGCAGTGCCGGCGACTGCCGTCGAGTTGCATGATGAGGGACAGACTCACTCCGAACACTAGTTAGTAGCTTTGGCCTTCCACTATCTTGTCTTCTGGCACCTTCTTTAATATGGTATAGTTGGGTTGGCTCCTCCACTCAGAGGCTTCTATAGCTTAATGGTTAAAGTCTCGGGCTCCACGGTGTCAGGGTTCGAGTCCCGGCTGTAACCACACTTAGCGGATTCCGATAAATCTTTGCCAGAATGGGACGGCAACCCTTTTTCAACTTTGAGTTTGAAGTTGAATCTAGTGGCTTCCGCTAAATCTGTGGTGGTGGTAATAGTAGTAATAGCATGAGTAGCAGCAGCAGCAGCAGTGATAGCAATTGTTGTAGTAGTAGCAGTAGTGGTAGCAACTGCAGTCAGTAGCAGTGTTGGAGTGGTGGCAGTAGCAACAGTAGTAGCAGTAGAGGTAGTAGTAGTTGTTGTTGTTGTTGTTGTTGTTGTTGTTGTTGTTGTTGTTGTTGTGGCAGTGGTGGCACTGGTAGTTGTGTGATAAAAGTCCTTGGATCATACACCCACCTTTTGATCCATACCCTATGGATCGAGGTATGGATTGTGTGTGGGTTTGGGTGTGTGATCCAAGGCTTATGTTTCTGGCCGTAGCCAATATATATAAATATCATATCAAAAGTATCGATTCTTCAAACCAATATTATTAAGATCCCCAGGGTCCTTTAAAAGGTCCTGTCGAAATTAGATTATATAATCAAATAAATGCGTACAATCTTTTATTTTTTTTATTGGAATGGCAATTCCTGCGTAGATGCGAATAAGTTCTTCAAAAGAATATCGACCCATCGCGCAGGTGTTGCGCTGAAAACTGTTCGCTTCACAAAAAGCAAGCAGACCAGGGATCAAAGATCTGGGTTAATACCCAAGTTGCGTTTGTGCTTGCAATCTGCCAGCGTCAGAGACATGGTTTTGAGACAAGCCGGGCTCCGACAGCAACGGGGTCTGCATGTCCCACATGGAAGCCAGAAGGGATGCACAAAATGTTTGTTGGTCCGTGTGTCATTGGGCTTGACAACATGAGTTTATTCAATCTCTATCCATCCATACACTTTTCTCATGCACAAACTCCTTCCCAACACCGGACACTGCTTTGAAGTGCTTTCAACCGGACGTCGCCTAAGGGGGGAGTGTCCGATGCACCCTACCTGAAAACAAATCCCATTTCACAGCCTACCAGTCGATTGGGCAATTGCACTCGCGACCTTTGATGAAACAACGGTGGCTCAGCGTGTTGAGATGCTGATCCATCCACCGATTGAGTTTGGATTCGGCAGATTCCAAACGAAAAATGCGCGTTTGCCCGGCACCCCAATCAAATGCAGTAACCCTAACTTGCAACACTTGGCCCAACAAGTAACATCTAATGTATGTGCATCTATTGTATGGATGCTCCCATGACGAGCACCTGGCCGATTCTGCCTCTTTCGATCCCAAGGGCTGCTTTCAGAAACTGGGAACGCTGCAAAGGAGGTCAGCTACGAAGTCACTCAGCAGGAGCGAAGTCATACGAAGTGACAATTTGGGAGGCTTATGGTTGGGGATTTGTGTGAGTCTTGCATAGTCTTCTGACAACGCCTCATGATGTAGTGCTCCCTAAGCAAAAAGGATACAGTAGTTCACAGGTCAAACGTCCAAAGAGTCGCTTTCTGAACTCCAAATGGATGGACTCATATGGGCTCACTATGCCTGATGTCTTGCCCCTTTATGATATGTTGTATTCGTTTTTGATGATCTGAATGGCCAGGTCGGACGGTTTGGTGAATTTCCTGAATTTGAGCATGATCCATGATCATGCATTTGACCTGAGCTCCTGCTGTTTCTGCGGCCATTTCATCACATGACCAGGCGTCATCTCAACGCCAGAGTGCCCGCTTGGTTGCGGAACTTCATCATGTCCTGCAGTGCAGGCCAGGAAGGGATCACGGGCCGACAGCGCAATGTCCAGGGTATAGAAAATAGAACTTGCCCAAACTCCACAGCCTTCACAAACATGGTCAGGCAATTTTTACGTTCAACAGAAGAGCCCAGCCCTACGCCGGCCCTACGCCCAAAAACAACAGTCTGCGGTGCCATCTCATGTCTTCCGTATAGATTAGAATTCTAGAGCAAGCTCCACCATGCCCCGCCCCAAAGGGTCATTGAATTCATCACAGCTCCTTCTTGGCCTGCAGGTATGCGCTCCCACGATCAGCATAAGAATCCTGCAAAAGCGTCATGCTCTTCTTCTACATTCTTCGGGTATCGTCGAGTGGACACAGCACCTTCACTGGAGAGTTGTTTCTGAAGTATGTCAGGATCACATGTGATCATCATGCATCATGCACCCTGCGTTAATTTTGTGCCGTCAATGCTTCAAGGTGCCAATGCAGCAGCACCATGACTAGCTTTCAAGCACGAAACCAAATGAATCTAAATGAGACAAGCTCTTCAAAATCCAGGAACTTCTTGTTAAGCCCCGCGCAGGACGTAAAGAGTGTACATACTGTAAGTACATAAGGACAGGCTCTGGTAGCTTGAACATGCAGTAGCCGTTTCAAAGTCTTCAACCGATTTGGTGCTAAGAACCGCGTGGTTGGACCCGCCATTTTCACCACAGCAGGGGCAATCAATTTCAATAGCTACCAGATGCTGGTAACAAGGGCACTACTACTAGTAGCCAGAAGCTACTAAGGCATCGCTGAGCTCCCCAGCATCCATCAGCTGGAACGGCGCCCCGCCCTCGGCCTCAGCCGGTTTAAGGCGTGTCCCATCCGGTTCGACTGCGCTGGTAAAAGCCCGCATTGGTTGTGCCCAACTTGGTGGAAACGATCTCTCAATGTTATCATGGAACAGTGGCACGGATCCCTAGCTACATCATGTGCCATCCATAATTAATTGTCTTTTTGAATTGAGCGGCTTTTGTGGGCCACGAAAACCCCGCAATTGGGGATGAGGATGCTTTTGGAGGGGTCTCTATAGGCAAGGGTCTTCCGCGGTCAGGGTGGGCACCAATGTTTATGGTCATCCGCTGGAACATACCAGCACCACCACCGGACGCGGGACCCATTGGAAAACATGGAAGATGAATCTGCCCCGCTGTGGTGAGGCCGCGCTGACGGTCATGTTCCACTGCACCATGCAAAACATGGTGCCTCCACCTACACCCCCAGGAGAAGGCATATGAAGATCTGTAGAAGAGGCATGAACCGGTCAGTGCGCTAGATTTCTCCAACATCGGTGGCGGATGTTGAAGATTCCTAAAGACCAAAAACTAACCCAAAACAACTACAGTAGCACTCAGTAGTACAACTATATATAAAGTCATTCACTGATACCGCATGATAACGCTCATCCATCGTTCTCAAAAAATATAAAACACTTCGACCCAGGAGCTCGCTGATTGATGTTGCCCATGACGTGGTTCAGCGCGTCCTGGCATGGCGCCGCCCCCGTGTTCGGAGGGGAAGGCCGAGCGGTAGCAGGTCTAGCCGCGTTCGGGGACGGGCTGCTTTCGTCGCACCCTGTGCGTCCTCGGCCTATCTAGGATCGGACCATTGAAGTTTGGCTCAACCCATTGGGAAGACCTTGGCCCAGTACGCCTTCAACCGAGGAACCGTGGACAACGGCTGCTTGGGCCCAGTAACGGAAGACCTATATATCTTCAATAGATCTATGGAGTGATCTATGGACATCGAGGGCCAAGTGAGTGGGTTTTGGAAGATTTTTTGAGATGTCCGCAAAAAAGGGAACTGGTGAAACACCGAATTCATTGGACGCGCGCGACGTGGTTTTAGATATGGTTTTGGCATGTTTTGGACAACGACACAGGAGAAAGCACCGGTTGGAGCCACTCAGTCTCCAATGCCGACGTGGACGAGAGGTGGTGTGACAGACCGAATGCTTGGCATGCCGGATTCAAAAATGCAGCATCTCTCCCAACAATGAAGCAAAACGGAGAGGATGTTCGGTGATTGTCTCTACATGAATGAGTAGACCCTGTAGAAACAATTGGCCAGCGCAAGGGACCCCAGTCGCCCAAGAACCTATCCAAAACCTGCTCCTTTCAGAACCAGTCCCATTTGCATCGCTTTCATCGGGGAAAGCCGGGTTCAGGTCACCATCACCATGTCCCATTGCCTATCGCAGCCCACCTTGGCTTTGTTCCATTCAGCTTTGACCTGGCCAAAAAGGGCCGGTCGCACCCTCGCACCTAGAAGCTGCAGCCTGGAGGTCACCACAAAAAAACTACCTTTGACATCACTACTACCTTATCCTCACCGGTTCAGGGGTCAAGCACCGCAAGGGGGTAGTGATCCTTTGACCTCTTGTTGGCGTGTTTGTGACCTTTGACAGGCCTGCTTGTGACCGGCGAAGCCACGGATCAAGTTCGGTGAAAACTGGACACGGCGGTGTTGCAACACAATGCACCTTGCTTCTTCAATCAATTGCCCAAGACTCAAGGGAGCAATCAACACGAACCAAGATGCTACCATGCTTATCATCCGTAACCACAAAATCCAACACAAATACCAAAAGCCTCTTGTTGACATGACACGAAGCACTGCCCAGCCCCCAAATACTTCCAGTTCCGTATTTAGAAAAGAAACCTTGGGCACCCAGCCCATGCTACGAACCCTTCCACCATCCACCACTTCGCTCGCCCTTTTTCACTCAATGTCAAGGGCTGCGCCGCTCATGGCTCTCGCGCAACGCAGTCCGATGTGATGAGCGGTGCTGTCGGCTGGCAGGTGGTGCCGCGCGCAGTTGCGGTAGCGCCAGCCTCGGTGGAAGCCGGTCGTCCTGTGCCAGGCTATGAGGGGCTTGGTCTGGGAGTATGAAGCCCCCACCCCCAAAAATGCTTGTATATACCTGTTCAACTGCACACGTTGATTGGTGGCCTCAAGGCCAGACTGAGAAATTGATGCTGGGCTATTCAACTCGACTCGATCCGCATGAAATGACAGACGTGAACTCAATACAAGAGGAATGGACGAGGTGTTCCCAGTTCCACGTCCCTGAGCCCATGATGGCGATAGCTGGGTCTTTCTAGCTGGTCAGGCCGATTGATTTCTGCAGGGAGACAGAAATCCCACTCGGTAATGAGCAGTTTGCAGCTCTCATCCCCAACCTGCAACTAACACATAAAAAGGATTCAGCATGACAAATTGATTGCATGTTTTACTTCTACAACCTTCCCTGTGCCCCTTTCACTCGTAAAACGGGATAGTTGCAACGAGCCAGTGCCCATCTGGTTCATGGCCCAGAAAACGGGCACGTGGGACGGCAGGAGTACCGGCCGCTCCCAAAAGTATCGGGCGTCAGGTTGCGGTGTCTCCTTTTGGCTTCTCCTGCCGTCTTAACGCAGTCGAGCGGCAGTGCGACTTGTGGCACATGAAGGAGCCCCCTTTCTTGATCTTCTCCTCAAGCACCAAAGAAATATCAAGCGCAAGAAATTGTCTCGTTTCAGCCCTGAGATTCGGGAGTTCCATGTTCTTTTCCAACTCACCCGGAACGATCGACGGTCACATGTTCGATGATCAATGGAGCTCAAACTTCAGCTGATGCGGAGCTCAAACATAAATGGACCCTCTGCACCATGAAATCCGGGAAAGGATATCGCATCATGTAAGAATAAACCAAAGCGGACTACCAAGCGGCTGAGCGCAAATGTGTGCATGTCTCTCTCTTACTAATTACACGTGTGTTTTTCTCCTGTGCCTTTCCTGTGTGACATGCCAAGCGCATGCATCAAGAGATCATCCAGACCTCCCAAAAAAGAACCTCTGAAAAAAGCCGGTGGAATCCTGTAGACCACAGGTGGACCTGCTGCTTCCATCGTGAAACATGGTGTTTTTCACCTGCTGGAAGACCGGTATAGGTCGGTCCATCATGTCCTGTCATGTCCACACGGCGGAAGGTCCGAACCGCATGTGCCATGGGATCACACATCTTCACAGGAAGACTTGACATCAATTTGTTAAACGTGTGGATCACATTGGGTCACAGCCCGCGCGCCATCAGGGTGCCATTAACTCAAAAGGCAAAACAAAGCCGCACTGTTGGATATTTCTTCTCCCTTAGCGCCCGCCATGAAAAGGCCAAAGGCACGAAGGCTCCAGACGCATCCTTCTTGACATATCCCCTCTCCACCTGTAGTTGCAAAGCACAAGCGGAACACGCGTGGCCGCCATGTTATGATGTCATAAGTTAGGTTCAAAGCAAAACGGGAATACATGGGAGTTTGCCGTAGATGGTGGCCAACGAGAGCATCTCTTGTATTCTCTTGTTTGATCCAGAGTGCATACAAAGGAGGTGCCATCTGCAAAGATTCCAGGGGACGACTCGTTCTGGCAAGCCATGGCAAGCCCACTGGATATCACTGGACAGGATGCCCTTGGCCAGTCCGACTTGGGAGACTTACCAGTGGCGCACCTCTGTTCTTCTGAGCGCTTCTGCCGGGTTTTGGACCAAACCGCAACGTCATGAGATGGTAGGGTAGATGGTATTCCAATATGGGCCTTCCTGCATCACCAAAGAAAACATCTGTAGCCATCTCTAGCCTTGCTTTGGGCAGCAAGTTGCTGATCACCCTCCTCAGTTGAGTCAGAAAATCATCGAATCTAGCTGCTACACCGCTGCGGTCCGTCCTACCTCGACTTCACCACCCCCCAAAGTACTAACCGCTGAAACCGCACCAGCTCGTCCAGCTCCTCCTCCGTGGGCCCTTCAGGATCCACGAAGCCCGTCGCTTGATTCTCTTCGGTCAGGAAATGCACCGGGCTAAACCTGAGCGATCGGCGGACTGCCGACTTCGCAATCCTCCGGGCCCCAGAACAGCTCGTCTAAGAGGGCTAAGGAGTGAAGAAGGCATCGCGTGTCTAGGCGTCCAGAAATATCCAGGAGCTTAAGGATGGACTCATCTCATGCCTGACTCATTCCATAAGGCACGAGCTTCAAGACACGTAGGGTAGCTGACTCCATGGAAATTATAGCCGCGAAAGAGCAAGACTAGGCTATGATGGCACTGCAAGAATAACAATGTGCATCTAGTGTTTTTTGATGGTTTTGGAATCTGTTGCGTGTTGCTTACATTTTCTGAGGTTATCTTTTGGAGCTGTAAAAGTTTGGATGCTTCTCCAAGTTCCGGTGGCTGTGCACTAACCACAAGCAAATATCGCCGATGCAGAGTAGTAGGGGCAGCGCAGCCCCAAAACGGAAAGAAGAAAAACCCATAAAACATCACAAACAACTGGTCTGCACAATTCTGCACATTCCAGGAAGCCAATTATTGGTCCATTCCCAGACATTGCCCACCATGTTGTACAATCCCCAGTCCTGGGAGGCCACGAGCCACGCCGTTGGATGGAAGGGAAATCCTTTTGAAAACACACAAGGTAGATTGAGGCGAGCGCAGCGCACCAACTCCGAAATCATCAAATTCATGAACGTGATTTTAGTGGCCATAAGTCTAAAACCCCGCAAACCTCCACAGATCTGTAGTTCACACCGAAGTATATACTTGGACGTTTCCTGAAGCAAAGGCCTGGCTTTGACCTCACCCTACACTACTGCCGTGAGTGTTCTCTTCTGGTTGGTTCTCAAATAATCCCACTGGTTTAGTTGCAGGATGTTTCTGGTTGCATCTTTTGCAGGATGCAGAGGGCTCAATGACCTGCCAATCCAGGAGCATGCCTGGGAAGATGGTGAGCTGCGGCAAAAAACAGCAACGCTGCAAAACTGGTCAAGAAAATCTCCGCTGTACTGGTTTGTTCTGATGCTGATTTCGTTGCCTCCATCCTTGGTCTCAAGCCAAATGTGCAAAGCCAAAGCTCATTCTGAGGTCCAAAAGCATCCACTGGAGCAGTTTTGATGTACCCGTCTTCTGCTGTATTCAACGTGGGGAATTGGCCCTGCCAAATGTTCATCCGATATCTTGCTTCATCCTCCTTGGTCTCATTGCCATACCTCAGCCAGTATGGGCGACTCAGACGTGGCTCCACCCATGCCATGACTTAGAACGTGCTATGCAGACCTGCTGAATGCAGTCCCATAAAACCACATGTTCACTTATGACAAAAGATCTGGGAAAAACAACTGCTCGCACAGGAAAAGTGGCCTCGAGGTGTTGTTCCGTTGGGCAAAGTGAGTGGCTTCTGGTTGTGTCAGATGCTGGACCCCTTACGGTGGACCCAAAACGAAGATCTCACACTAGCTCTTGGAACTGGGTGGTGCAAAACCTGTCCAGCTTGGAACTCGCTTACGCGCAGTCGCAACTTACACGCGTAGCTTTGATCACGCCCAAGAATCTAATGATGTCCATGTCCATTCAGGTGTCTGGTAGTAAAGCATTCTGGAGAAGATAATATACTGTACTGTCGTCAAAGGACTAGGGCTGCCCCCAACTGTATGCAGTCTCTTAAAAGAATCCCCACGCCTTTCAACATCTTTCAATCTAACCAATGCCACCATCGCAATCGCCGCCCAAAGGCCGTGAACTCTACCGTGTCACATTTCATCACCCCAAGGGTAGTACATCCCCTCGAGGCCACCTCGCGCTGCATACTCCCACTGTGCCTGCAATCATGACAAAGGCAAAAGAACACATGGCAAATGACGAGTGCCACCGTCACCTTGGATTGTTTGGACTCCTGCAGAACCGATATGTGCTCCGACCCATGTATACACATGAATTTCTGCGGATCAGTGTTCATGCGGCAAGAATTCCCATGATAGGATCGATACATTTTGTCAAGAACTATTGAGAAATCATGCCTGCACTTTATATAATGGGTGGTCCGATGGAGATCCTGGATAGTGTAGGGTAGCCCATTGGAAACCCATTGGATGCTCCTGGTGAGAAACATATGCCCAAACATCTAGCCTGATACCCCTCAGCATCGTCATTGGAGGGATCGGTCACCCCAAAGATCCCAACCTGAATGGATTGGGGCAAGGCACGGTGTCATGCTCTTCCGTTGTCATGCTCTTGCTTTTGACTCAGTGATGCTCACCGAGAAACAAGCGTCAGAAGTGGCAAAAAAGGAAACATGGACCTTGAACCATGGACGATGGATGACCATGGGACTCTGAAACGTGGAGGCCTTGCTTCGGCCTTTTCTTCCAAAAAACGCTCGTTTCCCTGGATCTGGTGGGGTTCTCGCGCTGCGGTGCTTGGAGTCCTCACACCAGAAAAGAAACAGGTCGCCCACGTTGGCAGGTCATACGTTACCTGTGAGTAAAGAAGCCTTGGATCATTTTGGATCCAATACCCAACCGCATCAAGATGCATCAAGTGTAGTTTTGAAGGGTCCATCCTCTTGGTCAGTGGAGGGGTGTATACAACCGCCGTATTCCTGGCTGTTTTGCCCATCGCCTCCGTGGGTAGGGATGCATTGCGCCAATGGCAGTATGCATTGGCATCATTCCTGAGCTGTGCCGAACCCACTGGACTTCTCAAAAAATGGATCTTCACCGTCACCGCAACCCTCCCTAGGCCCTAGTGCCCCTACGTAAGTATGTTTAACCTATGTTTAATCAAAAACGGGTTCCGTAAACTTCGCAAGTTCGATTCATTCGGGGCTCTTCTCTGTGACTAGTTTTCACATGGTTGACCTGGTATTGTAGTCTGTAGTCTCCAATCCTTAGTTTAAAGATGTTTAAAGAGATGTTCGGTAAATATAGCTCATGGTGGGAAGCCTAGGGATCACCATATTCTGTGGTGAGTCACAGCCCATGCATGCCCAAGATCCGGATCTTGTCTCGGAGCCGGCACGTGCCGGACGGGTCGAGATCGGGGTCCGGTGCCGCCGTCGTCAGACCCGGCACTCAAATCGACCCTTAAAGTGTGGGGGCCGTCGTTGGTCGCGAATTCCGCGAATGACCAGGGGACACTTGGGGATGTTGCTTGATGAGGTCATCCCTTTTTGACCAACCCGCTGGCACACCCACTCCTCCCACTCCACCCAGGCGCCATGAAATATGAACTGCTGGGTGGCTCCTCGGTGCACGGGCGACCGTGCGCATCAGCAAGCACAAGACTTGGAAGATGACCTGCGCACCAACCTAACCAACCAACCCTTCTCCCCAAAAGAACTCTTCCAGATCTGGTTTGTTTGACTCTTGGAGGATGATCATGGTGATGACGATGATGACGATGATGACGAGGATGAGGATGAGGATGAGGATGAGGATGAGGATGAGGATGAGGATGATATTATTGTGACATGTTATATTAAAAATAATTAATGATATGATGTATGATTCATGATATGATATGGTCACCAGTAGTGATCCAACGGGACACTCAAGCCTGGGGACTGACTGGCCGGCCCAAGAGCAAAGAAGACATCCACCCGAAGATTCGTGTAAGAACACGTCATAAACATAATATTAATAATGTCTATATCAAATGCGAGACGTTCCCAAAATCACCGGCACTTCTTGTCATGTCCTTTCATCTGATTGGAGATCGCCTCTCACATCGAAGAAATCCCACACACCTCCTCCCACCCAGGTGACAGCGTGACACAAGTGATCTGCCGCGGGGCCAGCGGTCGCCAAAACGGCTTCCAGAGGCTTCGTCCAAACCGCTGTCGACGCCTTCCGGCGTGCGCCACGAGGCGTTGGGCACCGGGAGCCACCAGGGCACTGCATCCACCTGGGGGCGAACCGGTGGAAACGGTTCGGCGGAGAAACAGCCAACGGGCATCCAACTAGGGGCGGTGGGGCCCGGTGGGGAGGAACAAATGCTTGGAGAGAACAGCTAAGGTGCTAGTATCTGCTAATATGCTGATCTAAGCTTCGACCCATCACTCAAGCTTTTGAAGTTGACCTGTTTTTAACCGGCACCCATGTGGTTTGGGCACCCAGGTGCCAGCTAAGAGGCATCCCCCAAGGACACGGTCGCCAGTGGCATGAAGGAGGATGCGATTGATGCGATCTAATACAAAAGTTGGTGGCACAACGTGGCAATGGTTTCCTTCACCTGAAGCTTGGGAGGCTGCATGAGGCTGGTCCACGAGTATGCCCGCAAACCGTGCCTTCTTCAAGATGGTGGCGCTCACAGCATCCGACAAGTACACCTCTGCCACGAAGGAGTCTCCTAAACGCTCTGCATCCGTGACGTACTGCGTCTCCACCACGAAGTCCCAGAACTTCCAATTGCCTCGGCGTCGAAAACCCCGCGGGCGAAACGCGTCGATCGACGCGCGTCGATTACGCGCACGCGAGTCAGCCCAGCCGCGGACCTGAGAGAGAGAGAGAGAGATGAGATGAGCGGAGATCATAGGAGATCACACGTGATTACATGGAAGGTACTTCAACCGGTGAGGCCAACCATTCCTAACATTTGGGTCATTTGGGTGGTGATCAGTGCACGTCATGAATCATTATCCTGTTCAGGACCAGCCCCACAAATTGGTGTTCATTGCCCATCTCCCGTGTTCTTCTCACAGGTGGAGTCACTGTTCTTGAGAGAATGCCACCGATGGCCACGGCAAGTGTTTCACTTCTCTTTGGCAGCACAATTTGAAACCGGAAGACCTCCACTAAGAATCATGACCACAGGTGAATGGTGCCGTGACAAAGCAGGGCCTGTTGACCCTCCAGAAGTGGTCCAATGATGCTCGGGGCCCTTAAATCTGTTCGGTTTCGCCTGCGATGTGTCCAGTCTCAGCGGCACGTATCTCTCTGATCTCGGACACGACCAAAGTGAGGTAACGGGGACATGTTCGATGGTGTGCACAACATGGCTTGGTCTCAAATCAGGCACCCGTCCAGGAAAGAGCTTGATTCTTCGTGATCAATTGCGGGGAGCCCACACTTGCCAATGCTTGCAACCAAACTCGGAAGTTCTGCGCCGAGTGTCTAACCTCAAAGGTGTCCAAATAAAAGCCAGACATCCGAACCGGGCGAACTGGCCCCTCTCCATCCTGCATTCAGAAAAGAAGCTAACTAAACTGTGAAAAGGCGACGTAGCAAACATCTCAAGCCCCCAAACCCTTTTGCAATCGCATATCCTCAAATCCTAGGTGAAGCGTTTGTAAAGAAACCATGATGCTGCGCTCGCCGACTCTCGGCATCATCAACCCACACAGTTCCCTGGATTTAGTATAGCATCGTCCCATCTCGGACACGCCACCAAACTGCAACAACATCACCGGCTCGAATAGTAAGATTAAGTTGACTCGATCTCTCCTCGTCCTCATGCGTTCCTCAAAGCGCTCAAACCGAAGCATGAGGCCAAATAAGACTTAAATAAGAGCAACGTTAACTACACTTTAGCACAACCTCCCCGAGGGCTCTCTCAGTCGAGCAAACCCTGCGGAGTACCCTTGCGCCTGGGGAAAATGGACTCGCTCCTTGCGATCGCCCATGTGGAAACGACCAGCTGGGATCTGGACCATCTCTTGATTGTGCCTGGGGCAAGAGCAAGATCTGGCGGTGTGCCCCTTGCCAACACAAAAGGATCAACATCGAACCCAAAGTATCTGAGAATCCACCCACAAGGAGGATATTCTTCACAAACTGGATCTTCTCTACATCTTCAGCGTCCCAAAGGAGAAAAGAAAAGGATGTTGAAGGCACAGCAGCTCCAGCCTAATCGCACTCGCGGACAGTGCGGCAGCCAAGGTTGCAGAAGCCACCTTAGGCACCTCATCTGAACGGCCTTCCGCGCGAGCGAGGGAGCCGCAGCCGCAGTCCTGCAGAACGGCCAAGCAGGACAACCAGTGTACGGCTTTGCACTGAAGAGAGTGAAATGCACCCTTTGGAGATCCACAGTTCTGAAGTGAGCCTAGTGGTTTCAAGCATGGCCTTGCCTTCAGCTAAGGACATTTCATCAAACACACGCTCCCTCTGGCATTTATGGCCTCAGGCACGCGACAATCTCTAACATCAGTGGATGGTGCGGCAGTTGATCAACAAACTCGAAGGCAACCATGCAACACATGATGCAAGATGTTTTAAAAGCATTGCATTTCAGCAGGATGTTGTCAAAGGATGCTCTATGCACTTTGCTTGCCAGGCGAATCTCACATGGCACCCGAAGCTCCCCCCCTGAGGTGAGTCACGCCACCAGCTCGTCCTTCACGTCCTCGTCCAGCTTCCCCGCGGCTTCTCCGTTGCAGTGGGCGTCCTCCACGGCCAACGGTCAGGATGTCAAACCGTCCCATGAATGAGTGCTAATCCCAAACACTCCATGTCTATGCTCCTTTTCGCCTACATTGGGATGGATTGTTCCATACATGGAGCGTTTGGGAACGCACTTCGCAGTTGAGGCTCAGGAAGAACTGGCATGATTTCAACATATTTCAACCCACTCTTTTTGGGGCCCTCCTCCACTGTGCAGGACTGCTCCGCCTGAACGAAGTCCGCACCAAGTAGGCCTGCCGCCATCGCAATTCCGGTGAACTCCAGAATGAGCTTGGGAGCTAAATGTGGCTTGAAATCCATGGGCCGATTCCCATTCCAGTGGCTGGGAGGGCATCCCGGACATGTCCAAATGGGCCGGAGTCTGCCTGGGGAACTCTCACTGGGATGGACTTGTTTGGCTTTTAGAGGTCCATCCTGTTTCGATCAACTCGTCGTTTGCACCAACCTCCAGGACGCACCGTGGAAGACCATCAGGACGTCACCAGGGGGGGCCCCCACATCTCTTCGCCCTAGGGGAAGGACTGGGATCATTGGCGGCAATGGGGCAGATGGACGTGCTGAGGATTGGCCTCTATGTGTGGCCAATGGTGTAAGAACATCTTAGCCCTTTAATGGGGCAAGGCATAAGGAGCATGTACAACACAAGTCACCCACAAAGGCCCCAACACCTGCACGAGTAGAAACAATTCCAAATTTGCCATGGCTTTGTGGGGAATTTGGACGCCTTCAGCCAGGCGTGCTGTGTGCAGCCGCTCTTCGCAGCCGGCCTAGGCCCAATAAACTCCAACACCACGGCCGTGTCCAGCTCATGGCGGGCGCAAGCTGTGTCGAATCTAAGATCTAAATCTAAGTCTGTGTCTCAGGATTCTTTGTTCATTTGTTCGCAGGGTCGAGCCCTGGATCCAAAAACTGCTGAAGCACCAAGTAGACGATCGAACGATCAAGGGCCTTGCGGGTGAATCAACTTTGAGTGTCCATCTTGAACCATTCCCATGTCGTGTCAGTCCACTTCTGGCGTCTAAGCCCTTCATTCTCGACATGGCTTGAGCCACATACCGAAGCACACCAAGGCCTTTTGGAGGCCATTGACTACAGCGACGAGCACGTCGGTTGGGCAGGACCTTGACTACACCAGAAATATTAAAGGTACTTGGTGTAGGGATGCTATCCAGCTGCATCTAGATGATGAGCCACCAACTCTATTGTAACAATCACAACTTCTACAATCCTCTACGACAGAAATCACGCGGATTCCCAAGTTCTCATGGAGCGGCCAACTTCCAAACATTCGCCACTACATTCGCCGTACCAAGCCCGAACTTCACAGCTTGCGCTGGGATCCGTTCAAGCACGTCCCTTAACCTCCTAAACTTAAAACCCACACTATCCGCATTGCTAACATCTACCCCACCACAGATGCTCTCATTATGTCTCTTCAATCTCCGGGGAAGCTCGCTAGTGTGTGCATGAATTATGTATATATATATATATCACACACACACACACATATATATATATATACATACACACTTACACACTCATGACTCATATATGTACTTGGGGAATGTTTGTGCGCTCCCCTCACTACCTTAAATGAAGCAGCTACATCTCTACATGCAAGTACCTTGTAGGCCGCTGCTCCTGTTCCGGATACTGAGGCACCTGAATCAATCCAGGTTTATCGTGAGTGCTTGGATCAGTATCAGCTACAGCCGAGTTTATGCTGTGGCCGGCACACGCTGGTCCACCCAATCATCCCAATCCCTTGCACCCAAAAAACCTTCGTCCCACCCGGAAAGAAAAACAGACAAGATAAGACGCTCGTGTCTTCCTGGCAAACGCTTGCTCGTTAAAATCGGCTCAATGCTTCCCAGTGGCCGTTTTCCATTCATTGGTGCCCACCGAGTCACTCATGGCCGTCACCGCCTTGCCACGTCCGCGGGGGCCGGCTGCGAAACGGCCCACCGGTTTCACCGGTTTCGCGGGCTTGAATCACCGTGCAGGGTGGACCCGAACTTGAGGGCCCAAAACGCTTCTTAGGCTTGGATAGGGCTTCACCCGCAGATGGGCGGCGCCAAGTGTTTGAGGCACACCAGGACCCCCGGGCCCCCCATCAACTCCGCACTCTGTCGGATCCCCACCTTTTGGAAGTTCCGGATGTCTTCCGTCCAGCCGTCCTCATCTGCCTCGATGTTGGCACTGGCGAGCCTCGGGCGATCGTCCACGGGTGCCCTCGGTCCGAGGGTCACAGCGATAGAAGTGCCCTGAGCTGGAGAGTCGAACAACGTAGGAAGCACTTCAATGGATAACGTGTGTGAACGCATTATAACGCAAAGTCCGGAATCATGCACCTCTAAAGTGTTGTGGCGTGCAGGATGGTGCAGGGCGCCCTGCCATTCCACTGAAACCGGCATACAACACCACAGTCACCACAGCTTCTCAAAGCCAGAAACTCGCCCGACTCGGGTGGTCTCTGGTCAGACCGTATAGCAACTATTCGCAACTCACACACTACAGGTGATGGAAAAGGTGAAGAAAAGACAGAGCCTCCAGCACCTCACACACAACATACACAACAGATACACAACTACCTCATACATCACAGTGCAGATTGGCTGTGGGGATTCCTGCAGCCCCATGGGAGAGGTTGTCCATGGACAGTTGTTTTTTTGGATCCATTTAGCAACTCAACCAAATCCTGCTCCAGTGCTGAGCATCAGGCTGATTGAAGGGAAAAGTGATTTCGGAATCCAAGGGCGACCTCAGTGGAGCCACCCCCAGTCATGAAAAAGCTTGCAAAGACTTCTCAGGTGGCGGTGGTGGGCCAGCACAAGCTAGCCACACGTCAAGTATTTCTTGCCAATGGCCGGGACCAGGAGAAAGGAGTTCAGACTAGAGGTTCCCACATCGGCAACATGTGGCCTCCAACACATGCAAGTTGAAAGAGGTTCAGAACCTTGGAAAGGCTCGACCACTGCTACAAGATCCGCTTCTGACAGCTGGACATCTGAGTGTGATTTGATGTGTCTGGGGAATGGCCTGCTCCGGTCTGATCAGGCAGAATCTCCGAAAATTCCATCGTGCTGAATGAACAGTCTGCGAATCAAACTGAGGAGGTTTCACGCTGAGGAAGCCCCAAGGTCTCACCACCTATATATAATTCAATTTCTTATCAAATTCTTTGGAGTTAAGGGCCTTAACACCTGCCAGAGAGAAGCTTCATCACTTCATCCTTTTTGGCTCAACACATGTCAACAAAAAAGCAAATGCTTTGATGTCCGGTGGCGATTTTCGTTTGCACTCCTCCAGAAAACTAACAGTTGTACGACATGGGCGACATGTCAACCTTGCTGCAGCCAATGGAGGACCGAGTGGCACATAGGAGCCTTCAGCCGTGGAGCCCAGGGCTTTCCGGCATTGACCCAGGTCCTGAACCATCGACGGCGACGGAGCAGAGATTCAACTGGCATGAAGAAATCCACAAAACCCCGGGAAACCATATATAGAACCAACCCAAAGAATATAGAACCATATGGGATCATATGGGATTGTTTTATAGAACCATATGGAACCAACCCAACAATTAAAAAAACAAGACTTGGCCCACAGAGGACATGGATCTACCATGATCTACCCTCATGAAGCGCACTGAGAAAGAACCCCCAGCGAACTACTGTAGTCCTTCAATGGCGAACCGCCCAACTTCAGTGCATTGTGAAGGGGATTCTGCCTTGCTGATCTGAAGCCCTTAGAACACGACCTCTGCAAATCCGAAGACATTCATGTTCTTAATGTTGGAGGGCCCCCCCTTCCTGTGACCAACATCCATATCTATCCCAAAAAGGCACCACGCAGCGACACGTGCGCTCTTTTTGGCATTGGCGTTAGCTGGCGGCGCGCTGCCGCAGTTTCCGAAGCATCGCTTTGGCCTCGTCCTGTGAGGCCGAAGAAAAGACTGAAGGTCAGTGTCTCCCCCAGCGCCCCTGCGCAACAGGCCTGATAAGAATGGAGAATAAACCCCGCACGCTCCATGGTTTTGGGTGCATATCAACTATCATTACACTACATTGGGTGTGGCTGCAAGTGGCTGCAAAATAGAAAATCAGAATGCGCACCTCCTGCGAGCTCAATGTGATTTTGAGGGTCAATGCCTCTGCATGTATTCAATGTATTCCATACATGGAGTATTTGGGAATGTGAGCTCCCTCAAAAAGAAAGTGAAGAACCGGTTGGGGCCCCGCTTCATGATGAAACACCTGGCCTGCGGCATCTCGGGTTGGAAACATGTATTTTGTGGGTGTGAGTGAGGTGTTTGAGTTCTCATTCGAGTAAAAGGCATTCACAGAATGGGGCTCAATACTGGACCACAACAAGCCAACTGCTGTATCTGGACAGTGGTGAGAGGCTGAATGAGCTACTGACAGCATCTGACAGCTGCAAAACTTCTTGGTATGTCCAGGGTTAGGTCGACGGGAGAAGAATCCAAGGGACTCACTCGAACAAACTTAAGAAGGGAGAATATCCAGTGATGGTTGAGAGGGGATGAGGAAGGGACGTCTTGACCTCAGCACTGGATCACGAGGATACGATAGGAGAAGAAAAGAATTCCACTTCAAATCCCTTTAAGGACCTCTGTCGGCTTGGATCCTTCACTCATCCGATCAGGCTTGGCACATGCAGCTCTTTTGAACTCTCTTGGCACAATGAGTTGCAGGCGGCAGTTGATGCTTGAGACTTTGAGACTCATGAAGGAGAGCCACCAGGGCTTTGAGTTAAAGGGGACAAGACATCAAGATGCCCTGCATGTCATGGAGGAAGAAGACATTCCGTGAAGTGCCGAACAAGAACAAGAAGTGTCCAGAGCAGGAGTGCAAGTCGACAAGGTTGAACAGCCAAGAGAAAACGATACTGTGATCCATGGAAAAGCCCCCGCAGTCTCCGAGCCAGGCCTTCTCAGGCCCAGAAGTATCCAAGAGCCGCATGGCGTAGGCTTCGGCGTCCTCCCAGCAGCCCTCCTCTGTCGTGTAGGCCATCAGAAAGCGTAACGCTTCCTGAGATGGTTTCCGGCGTCTCGACATGAGTTCGCAACGGAATCAACGGCGGAGGTGTAAAGGCCCAACCCTTGTCCTAGGCTGTTTGGGAGATTCAATCAAATTGGGTGAATGTCTCATGAATGTCTCTCTCTGGGCTTTTTTGTTGATACGATTTCAGCACCTTCTTCCTGAAAACTGTTAGAACCTGGTGGTACATGTTCATCCCCAAGCCATCTTGAGGATGCATAACTAATTAGGCGAGATCTCTCTCTCTATATATATATATATGTTTGTTTTGTCTAAATGTATGTTTTTCCCCCCTCGTGTATGTATATATATATATATCAAATTGGTTCAGCCACATCATATTCTACAAAGCCCCGCCTTCAACTCCTCAATTCAAAAAGAAACCAACACCTCGTCCGCCACGTCCTCCCTGCCACCCAGGCTCCACCACCTCCGTGGAGAGACCCACCGGTTGGAGCGGACCGGCACCTGCCGAGGAGAGTGCCGACCTCTACCGACCCCCCCTGGAGTCCAACGATGGGAAGGACCTCTCCAAAGAAACGGGCTCAGTTTGCTCAGAGTCCGGAATCCATTGTTGGGACATTTGGGCGCATGGGTCAATCACTTGGGGAGTTCGTCTGCAAGCTGGGAGGTCTTTCTTGCCCATGTTCAAGACTGTGCTTGGATGATTCGTTGGGAGAACCAGTTCAAGACCTCAATCCCCTTCCAACATCTTTTCGGGTTGTTCGCTTTGGTGTGTGGTTTCTAGGTCGTTTGCATGCATAATACTAATACGCCTTTTGTTCCTTCATGTTCCTTCATTGTCTGAAGAGACCTTATTCAAAAATCCGCCCGCGCCGAAGGTGCTGAGGCGTTGTCTCAGTTCGCGAAAACCGCTGGAATTGCTAGATTGCATAGCTTAAGCTTTAGCTTGGGAGGGTGCTATTTTTGCTCCAGAATGCTATGTGTTTAGGTTTAAACAAACAACGAAAATGAGCGAATCAATCGTGATGTCGGTTATGCCGCCCGAGTGAAAACGCCTTATTGATATCGTGTGTGCTTGCCCTGCGGCCTTTCCGAAAGATAAGCGACGAACATATTGAAAAATGCAAAGTTATGTTGCCCGAATGGAATTGCATCATTGAAAGCGTGTGCGTGTTCGTACCTGCAGATTTTTCTATTTATTGAGGCTGATTGAATACAACACGCCCAAAATGGGTCATATCTATGACGCAAAGTCGGGTATTAGGGGGATGCATCAATCGTCGTGGGGTGTTGTGTTCTATTTTTTGTGTTATTTTTGGTCAGAGAAAAAAGGTGGGCTACCAAGATGGTCCGCGCGGACGGCTTCGCCACTGAATGGGTCTCACTCTTTGCCTAGATTCCTGCACCTCTCAAAGCCTCGACTCTATCTCGACATTGAGCCGCTCGCGCCGCTCGATGGCACAGCAACTTCCACTTGACGAGCAAGACTCCAGTCTTACGATCGAGCGTAGGCCCCCGTGACTGAAATCAACTGCGGATTTCAGCCTAGAGGACACATTGAACACATGAGAAAAGCAACTGCTACAGTATCCCAAACACAATCTTTGGACAGGCCTACATCGCCCAAGCCATTCTGCTCGAGCATCTGCGTGTAGTAGGCAGCAGCTTGCCTCCCGAGCTGGAGGGTTTCTCTTGCTTTTGCACGAACCAATCCAAAACCAGGCCTCAAAGTGTCTGCATGTGTGCAATGAGAATTGCCAGTATAATGACTTCTGCTTTGCCCAACGTCTCACCCATGTTCCGTATTGAACTCAGGTGATGCTGCCCCACATGCAACCGCAAGAACGCGTCTCTCCAATGCCTACGCAGTGTACAGGTGCATACTATAGTCTATGCACATGTATATGCACATTCTATGCACAGTTTCTTGCTGAACACAAGTTGACAATGAATGTGCCAGCCAAAAGGTCTTGTTATGTTATACTATACTCACACTCTATCACTAGCCATCGCTACTAGGTTGGAGGCCATCGCTGTTAGGTTGGAGGCCATCGCTATTAGGTTGGAGGCCATCGCTAGTATGTTGGAGGCCATCGCTATTAGGTTGGAGGCCATCGCTA